GGGAAGAACACAATGATGGTGCCCAACTTGGGCCAGTGAAGCAACGTCCTCCACAACTAAAGAACAAAACGACAGCAACTTGTCTGTTCCCCTTTCCCCAATTCCCCAGCACTGTTCCCATCCCCCCAATTCCCAATAAAAATCTTTAAAAAAAAAATGAGGTAAGAATTTGAAGGAAAGTGAGCCCAAAGAAGCAAAAGTGTAAGTTATGTGCTGCTAGTCCTGATGGAATTGAAAATCCAAAGGGACTTAAAATCCAGGTCCTGTGGGCACAGGCATTCACTTAAAAAAAACAGGAGGTGCCCAGTGACACTTGAGTTTGGGCCACTATCTCAGATAAATAAGCTTTACTCACTCTTTATACCTGGAACTCCCTAGATTGAAGAAGAGAGAGCCCGAGAGGAGACACCAATGTGTTCATGTTGAAACTCATCCTGGAAGACGTCTACATTCCATTTTCCACCAATGAGTAGCTCGTGTTCCCTGATGGCCTGTCACTCATTCACCAAAGTGAGCAAACACTGACTTCCTCAGAAGGTGTAGGTGGAAGGAGTCAATAGAGTCACCACCACTCGAATGATGTCGACACCATTTTAATCATTTCATGTGTATTCTCAGGCAGATATGTCCGTTGAGAGACAGGAAATAATATGGTACAGTCAGCATGAGTCCTGAAGCCAGATCACCAGGTTCGATGACTGGCTATACCAGTTGGTAGCTTTGTGACTTTGGGCCAAGTTACTTCATCCTGTACCTCCATTTCCTCATCTGTAAAATGGGGATAATATTTCCTACCTCACAGGGTGTGGTGAGAATGAATTAATACATGGAAAGTGCTTATAACAATGACTGGCATATATTAAGCGCTCAGTAAACACAAGCTCTTACCCTAACCCATTCCCCTCACACACATGGTGTTTTTTTACTGGCAGTGTGGAGTCTGTAGAGCTGACTACTCTCCTGCACATGGGGATGTACTTACTTCTCTCAGACAATCAAGGTAACTCCGCTTACCTGGCTAGTGACTGATTTAGGAACAGGCAGATGGTACAATTCTGGCCACTGAGACACCATTCTGGGCGTGGTGGTGGTGTTCAGGGAAGGTTTCTTTCCAAAAGATTTGCATTGGGAGAAAATATTTCATTTCTTCTTCTAGTGATGCTGTTTCTACCTGTAACAGCAGAGCCATCCTTGCACTGTGAGGGCAGCTGGAAGAAAGATGGAAACATGACGTTGTTGAGTTGAAGAATTAACCAGCCCTAAAACTCTTACCTTACTGCTTAAATTTTCCTTACTGCTTAAGTCGTTTTGGGTAGAGTTCTCTGTTATTCTACTTGAAAATATCCTGATTGCCATTTCTAGAGCATCAGTATGTTCAAGATATTATAGGAAATACAAAGTGTAAAACCCTAAACCTGATCTTGACAAGTTTTCCAGCTACTTGGGGGAGATAAGCCATGAGAAGAAAACTAATGATACCAAGCAGTAAATATTAAGTGCTTGGATTGGGTGGTCTGAGAAAGCAACACAGAGGTCACATATGAAGAGAGGGCTCAAAGAATAAGGAAAATGTAGATGGACAGAGGGAAGAAGGAACATTCTGGTAGGGGAACATTCCAGGAAGTGTAAACAAATGTAAGGAGAGTTAGGGATTGTATTAGTTTGCTA